GAAGACTATTGTATCGTTAAAAATTATTTTTTTATTTTGTACAAACAAAATAAATATATTGAAAAATATAAAAACAATAAAAAATTATACTTCAGAAGTTAATTTAGTATCAAAAATGTAAAATATTTGAGTAGCCGAAGACATAGCCAAAGATTACAGCGCCACAGCACTGGCGAAAATTTAAATTTGTTGACTGGAATTCCTTCGGATAACAGACCTTCGGATAAACGACGCTCTACTGTATATATATATAGTGTATATGTGTATAAAGAACCAGGTAGAAATATAATTTTTATTTGGTTCTATCAAACTAAAATTAATAGTAACTAACTCTTATACTGCTAACTTTTTATTGTTACACTGAATACCATAGAGTCAAGGCTGACCCCAATACTTTCTAAGAATATATTTATGTGATTTAATTTTATGGTTTAATTTCAACTTCCACTGAAAGTACAAAATGTTATGTTACATATTTATTTTTTTTAGTATACACAAACAGAAAAATATCTATATATATAATAATAATTCTCTCTCATCATAATGACTACTTGATGGTACCACTTCAATTCACTGGAATTTTCCTGTCAAGAAGAGACTTACTTATTGACAGTTTCATTATTGTATTTTTGAGCACATTCAATACAAATCAACATTTGGGGCATGAAAAGTGCATACATTTAGAAAAATGACTTGAATGCTTCCTGTCTTCTGACCTAAGTCAAAGCAAGCATCAGCCATGTTTTCATCTACTCTGGTAATGCAGCCATTTTGGTAATTTTGTCTTACTTCCTCACCAGAGATTTTCCTATTTTCAAGAGAAATAACCAACCCCTAAATCTCTTTTTTCATTCCAAATTGGGTTCATGTATATCCATAATATAAAGTATTTAGAATAGTGATATTGAAAACGTTGAAAAAGATGTGGTTTCCTATTCGTCACAGTAAAAGATGCAATCATTTATCCTATCAGAGATGTTTATTTAGGTCATATTCATTTGGCACCAAATTGGATAACTCTTAATCTAATGGAAAGTCTAATTCACAATCTGTTGTTTGAAGAAGTGGGTGATGGATATGAAAGTGATGAATAAGACGTCTTGTACGATAATTATGAAGATAATACAGATGACAATGATAGTAAGATTGCTATAACAAAAGTGGAGCAGCAGTATAATTCCAGCAGTTTGTCAAATGACGATTCATCTGAGAGCAATTGGAAAATTCAGGAATAAGGAACAATCATTCCTGAAATTATTAACAAATATTTAACAAGTCCACACAAAGTCACCACATGTAATTCAAGAAAGAAACATTCAATCTTATCAAAATGAAAAAAAAATTAACTTTGGAGTCACAGTTGACATCATGGTAACATATGAATTTTAATGTAACTTGCAAAATAAAGCCTCTGGAAGAAAATCCTTCCTGGACAGGCTCAATTGAGAAAAAAATATGAAAGTTGGGGGAGGGAAAATATATATTTTACAAAAATTTTGTAAGACTTGGAAATATGGAGTGGGGGGGTCACCATTGACCCCATGGTAGTACAGGGTTAATATTCATTTGTGTGTGTTAATTAATTTGTGAAGTTAGTTCATCATTCATACTTCTCCCTTAAAAATTAAGTGCATAAAAACTTTTTTTTTTCAGTGTCTTTAACAAATGTAAAAAAAAATTTTAACTTACATACTTAGTCTTTCATGAACCAATATACCCAAAGAATGATAAGTCTTTAATCATTTAAGATTAGATATAAATCATATTGAAAAGTTGACTAAGTATAGCATTTTACAATTAGGGGAGAAATAAACGAAGCTTGTCATTTTTAACAATTAGGCAAAAAATCTAGGATACTGTAAAGTTTCATTTTTATGAGGTACAATCAAAAAAGTAACCAGATTTGGTCTATGAAGATTTTAATACTTAGCTAATTTCAATCTGGTCACTACTGCCTTCAAAGTGGTCTTCCCTTACATTTATAAAGCAATCCCATGGCTTCTGTCAAGCCTCAAATGATCCTTAGAAATCAGTGAAGAATCTGTTACAATTCAAATTGGATCTCCTTGACAATATTGAAAATGCTGCACCTTGAGCTTCAATTTCATTTTGGAAAACAAAAAGAACTCACAAGGAACTAAATCCAGAGTAGAAGAATATCATGTTTTTCACAAACACAGTTGTTTTGAAAGCTGTGTGAGAGAGAGCATTGTTGTGATAAAGAATCTTTTGTGAAAATGTCCTCCACAATGCACATTCATTAACTGCAACCATTTCAGCACGTTCTTTGCCAGAAGAGGAAAAGATGCCCATTAATAAAATATTAAACTTCATACAAGTGTAAATATTTTTGTTTTTTAAAATTTCAAACAACCAGTAACCTTTCTTTACAGTTTATTTAAACAATATGATATGTAAGATATATACTGTGTTTCCCCAAAAATAAAACTGGTTTTATATTAATTTTTGTTCCAAAAGACAACAATACACCGTGAAGAACAAACAGTTTGTATTTACACAGAGAAATATTTATTTTTACAACTCAGAATTTGACTACAATGTTATATTAAGGTAAGCTACCTTAGATTTCTTTAGATAGTTTACCTGAAGATGATTTTGTAGTCAAATCCTAGATTGTGAAAATAAACATTTTTGTGTGCAAATACAAACAGTTTTCTGTTCTTTGTGATCAAATGTGCTCAATTTACAAGAGCTAAAATTAGTTGGTCTTATGTTATATGATTCTAGTGTTGTGCATGGATTTCTGGTGGTGTGTAATATTGTAACACAATGTAAGTTTACATAGTGATGAGTAGGTGAAAAGTCTAAAAGATACATTGTGAGCAGAACATTTATTTCTCATTGTAGGTATTACTGGTTTCTAGGAGTTGATTTTCCCACTTTTCCTGACCAACATTTCTTGGGATTCAGGAATGGAAAAAAAAAATTTCCTAGAATGGGCAGGAGAGAATTCCCACCCAGAAACCCCAAAGTTGGCTCAATGGGTGAGGCAACAAGGCAACTGCCGAAAGTGAGTAGGGAAAAAAAGTTCAAAAAAGAAATATACATATAAATAATAACCCAAATACCATAAATCTGCATTAAAATTGTTTATAAATACAATAAAACTTCTCTCAAGTCAAAGCTCCAAGAGAAATACTTAAGAGTTACAGACAATTCAAGTTAGAGATAACAGAGTGAAGAAGTTTTAATACAAAAAAGTTATTAAATTAAAACAGAAATTTAAACTATAGATTTTTAATAAAAAAATATATAAATACAGAAAATTTTAATAAAGTATCAATTTAATTTGGTGAGGAATACAAAAACTACATTATTCTAAATCTTTTTAAAATCTCAATTTTTTTCTTGTAAAGTCTGATGTATAAAAATTTAAAGTCACAAGTAATTACTCTTTTCAGAATTGCAATGATACAAAATACCCACTCAACAACCATTAATGCAGTATATTTCTTTATTCTATTGTTTTCAATCATTTTCAATGACCATCTTCAGGAAAAAAAAAACATTTTAAAAAGAACAAACACCTAACAGTTTTTTAGAATGTATTTGAAAGCTCATATCATCAATAACTAAAAACAATCTAATAAATAAATAAATCAACAAAATACATACAATAAAATAAATATTTAAATAAAAAAGAAACAATTGAAAATATTAGAAAAAAGTTAAATGGTTTTTGAGTTGGTACAAGTATTTTAAGAAAATATTTATGGACAAAATCAGGAATTTAATTCATCAAAAATTCTGAATATTCAAATTGTGTCAACCTATAAACTACTGTAGACCAATTAATAGATAACTTATTACATATAATATATCAAGAATGTAAATAATACTCCTATTCAATAAAAGAAGAAATAAAAACTTAAACAATTTTTAAATTTACAGAACAATAATATTGTACTTAAAAACCTAACATTTTGATAATGAAATAGAAATTTCAACAATTCACATCACTGAAAATTTACTTTAAAGCTAAGAACTCACTTTAGATACAGGTGATTTTCTGAGATTTGCTTTTAAGATGGACTGCCTTGACTTTTCATCTGGTAATGGTATATATATTAACTGATCCAATCTGCCAGGTCTAAGAATAGCAGGATCAATAATATCTGGTCTGTAAAAATATTCACACTGTTAAATTCACCCAACAATGAAATATATATATATATTAAATTCATAATGACTATAATACCTGTTAGTAGCTCCAATTATAAACACATTCTTTTTTGAACTCATACCATCCATCTCTGTTAGAATCTGATTGATAACTCTATCTGCAGCTCCACCTACACAAACAGATTCAATGATATGAATAGTTTAAAAAGATTGCCATTTTAACAATATTTTGAAATCTATTATTAATAATAAATGACTATTTTAATTACAAGTAAATAATTCAAAGACAAGTACTAAATAATATAAAAATGTTAATATTTAAATATTTATTTTGAATGAGAAAATATCCAAATCATTTCATAAAAACAAGACAAAGATCTAATTATATTATTTACTAAAGAAAAAATATGAATTAAATCTGGAATCACAAATTTAATTATGATTAAAACTTAGTTCAAGTATTTTTGATAAAACTAGTAACAAAAGAAAGAGAAATATCAAGTGCTAAAAGCATGGCTTAAATATTGATACTTGTGCTAAAATAAAGGTGCATCTTATATACCATAAAATATAGTAATTTGTACTTTATTACAGATTAAGTGCATTTTATCCAAGACAAAAGCAGTTAAAGCTGACATTATCCAAAAATAGATGGATGAAGTAAGAACCAAACTTAAAATTGGAGCTTTATCTGGATAATGTGATGTATCTAATGTTATCTGGATAATGCTGAATATGATGCTTTTTTATGAGCGTGAGCATTGTTATATGTTTATAATAAGCTTCTTTTAAAAGACACTTGTAAACTTCAAGATTACATTACACCAGAGTGCAACAGTGCTCTATAGTAAAGCTCTGCCACATGTTTAATGTTGAAGTGCCAACTTTGACCATTAACATCTCCATAATTTTGGATGAAACTTAAGTGTCCATGATGATTACTATGAACATCTTTCAATTTTGTATAAATTTGTTGGATCAGTTTGGACTTATGCAATCAGCATTTTGTCACCTACATTTACAGTGAGAGAGAATAGTGTCACCAAATTACAGAATACAATCTAAAAGGAGTTTGTGTATGTTTAATAGCTCATTTGAGAGCTGATTACTTCCTATTTGCCCTTTTGAAGGCATTTTTAAAATTCTGAGTATTTATAAAATAACCCCCTTTTAAAAATTTTTATATATTGATCAATCAACTATCACATGACTCAGATGAATATAAAATTATCATGAAAGCTATTGTTATGAAATTATTGATGACTGCAAAATCCTTTTAATCACAAAAACCTGGTTCTATCAGGTTGAAAAAGTAAAGCTTAGCAAAAACATTTAAATTAAGAACAGGTATCCCTCACACAACATGACTTCTAGTTTCACTCTAATGCAATTTTGGAAATCCTCAATACAAAATTTCACAATTTTTAAGTGTAAACTTTGTTATTCAATATATTTTTTTAAATCCAAGTAAAGTACACACGTTTCAAATTTGTCCATGAATTTTAGAATATTGAAATGTTCAAATTATTTTGTGCTTTTTGTCAGATTTACTTTAATGAAAATTGATAGTGCAATTTTTTCCTTCCTTGTCCTATCTTTCCTATAAACCAGGTGTCATTGTCATTGCTTTCAGACTTTAGCCCTTAAGACTGTCACTGTTTTCTTTTTATAGATTAATCTTTGTATTTAGTAAAGTTTATTTAAGCATTTTTAGGTAAGCATTATTAAACTTTTTTAAACTGCGGGTAAGCATTCATTCATAAAATGACAAACAAAATACAGCGGTAGCTCTGTTTTCTAACACACATTCTAAGATAAAGTCACTCAGTACTCAACTGAACAAACACAACTCTGTAGAATAAATTTTCAATTAATATTTTTATTTTGTCATCAATAAAAATTTATGGTAAAAATAAAACACATGAAAATGTTGCTGATACTTCTGATCAAGATCAACAAAATAGCTGAGATGACAACAATACTTTGTAAAAAGAAAATGCCCTAGTTTAACTAAAATTAATGTTAACATGTCATACAGTACTTTTAATTGCAATTGTTAATTAATTATTGATTGGAAATAAATTACCAATTGCTTTAATAAACATATTTCTCTCAGTAACAAAAAAGGAATAGTATACTTTTGCTAACTTTTTTCACTAGTTCTATATTTTACAAAGAGAAAATTATTTGTAATCAAGGATTGTTACAACTAAAGCTACTGAATCAGATAAAGCTAGTATTAACTAGCTAATGCTAACTTTATCCAAGTTACAAGTGAATAAAGCTGATATTATCAAAAAATGGTTAGATGAAGTAAGAACCATCTTAAGTTGAAAAATATGAATAAATGAAATGAAATCAAATCAAATTAAATGTATTTTTATTAATAAAAAAAATATAATCACAAATAAGATTTAAATCTAGTTATATTGCATTCGAGTTTTGAAATATCTGAACTTTATCAATAATTTTTTCACTATCAGTGATACTTCTAACAGCAGCTTTTAATTTTCAGCGGATGAATGACAATTTTTACTTTCAGTTAAGAATTATTCAAAATTTGTTTTGTATTAAAACCTTAAAGCTCAATTATAAATTTAAAAAGTATTGTACCTGCATCACCAACATTTCCACCTCTAGCTTTAGCAATAGAATCTAACTCATCAAAGAATAACACACAAGGAGCAGCAGCTCTTGCCTGTAAATTGAATATGCAACATATAATGGTTTACTTTTAAAATAAATCATTCATGTAAAAATATTTATACAAATTCTATGTACATACCTTATCAAAAACATCTCTAACATTTGCTTCAGATTCACCAAACCACATAGTAAGTAACTCTGGTCCTTTAATAGAAATAAAATTTGCCTGACATTCATTAGCTATGGCTTTTGCCAGAAGTGTTTTACCACATCCTGGAGGACCATAAAACAATACTCCCCGAGAAGGTGTCATTCCAAATTTTAAGAATTTGTCAGGATATTCAACTGGATACTAAAATAAAATTTAAAATATATTTTAAAAACAATAACATTATATTATTATTTTTAATATATATTTTTACCTGTATCATTTCTTGTAATTCCTTCTTTACATTTTCCAATCCACCAATATCATCCCATGTGACATTAGGCACTTCCACTACAGTTTCTCTTAAAGCACTTGGACTACTCTTTCCAAGTGCCCACTAAAATAAATTGTGTTATTAATAAGCAATGAACAATCATTTTCATTCAATTTATAAATCAAATTAGAAGACATTTCTGAAATCATTAAACTACTGAAAACTCACCCTGAAATTATCCATTGTTACAGCCAAAGAACTAAGAACTTCTGTTTCAATTTGATCATCTTCCAAATCAATCAAGTCCATTTTTTCTCTAATCTGTTGTAAAGCAGCTTCAGAACAAAGAGCAGCTAGATCAGAACCAACAAATCCATGTGTTTCAGCTGCAATCTGTAGAAATATATGTAAACTTTAATATAAAAATTAATTATAGATATGTTTAAATATTTAGACATTTGTGATGATCTAATATTAGAAGTAAATACTTAAATAATAAATTTATTATTCCTCTATGAAAAATACTAAAACTAAAAAATTATTTTACTTTTTCGAGATCTACATCAACAGCCAATTTCATATTTTTAGTGTGTATACGAAGAATTTCAAGTCTTCCTGTTACGTCTGGAATACCTATGTCCACTTCACGATCAAATCTTCCTAAATATTTTATATAGAGATGGATTAAAATACATATATTATTATTAATAAAAATAAAGTTTAAAATTAACTAACCAAATCTTCGTAATGCTGGATCAATACTGTTTGGTCTGTTAGTTGCAGCCATTACAATGACATGGGATCTCTGCTTAAGTCCATCCATTAATGTTAATAACTGAGACACAATACGTCGCTCAACTTCACCATGTGTCTGAAATTATAAAAAAGTTCAGTTCTAGATATTTAACTTTATTTAATAATTAGTTGATTTAAAACAGCATTTAAATTCTAATTTTCTTTAAACAAAAACAAACAATTTTACTTAATTTTTATTCTAAAATTACTTAAATTTTTAAATTATTTATAAAATGTTAAATATAATACTATATACAGTATTGAAAATATCATTATATCATAGCTATATTCAAATACAAATGCATCAATAAATTTGGTGTTTTTATTCATGTAAGGCAGGAATGGTATACCTTTTTTTGAGTCATTATTTATTTTAAAAAATTGTGTAAGCCAAAGCTTTACAGCTACAACTACTATTTTTAAACAAATGAAGTAAACCTAAACCTACTTTAACTAAAATAAGTTCAGACTGGCTGAAAAATGTTATCAATTTAATACACCTAAGTATCAATAAGACTAAACGTAGTTGAAAACAAAAAAAATCACATCTAAAATAGTACAGTAGAAGCCGTTCTTCAGGTTAAGCCTTAATCATCTCCCTCTCTCCGTGGGAATTTCCAAAAATCCCTTCTTAGTGTGCATTTTCATGACACCCTAACTGTGTACAAAATTTCACCTCTAGGTTCAGCAGTTTGCTCTGGGCAATGATGAATCAGTCAATCACTCACTCAGGACAAGTAATTTTATATATTTAGATTTGATTTTCAAAGCCTGGCAAAGTACTTAAAAAAACTGAAAATTACTTATTGCATTGTTAACATTATTTGCAAGTTAACTTGCATAGAAAAAAAATTGCATATGAATAGTGTATAAAATTTAACAGATACAGGATAACAAAGTTGCTGTAGACATTCCTAAATCTTAGAAATCAGCATTATAAAATTTATCTATATTCTTTCATATGAATAAATACCTTTTCTCTTTTAGGGGCAATTGCATCTAATTCATCAATAAAGATTATTGAAGGTGAATTTTTTTCTGCTTCTTCAAAAGCTTTTCTTAAGTTACTTTCTGATTCTCCAGCCAATTTACTCATTATTTCAGGACCTATTAAGACAATAAATATGTAATATAAAAACAAAGTTATATAGTAGGAGTGACAATAGTCAATATGAAGCAAGGGTTTTCATAGAAATTGCATGATTTATTGTAAGATTAACTTGTGATTAGGAGATTGATTAAAGAAATATACCATTTATTAAAAAGAAAAATGCTCCCGTTTCATTAGCAACTGCTCTAGCAATCAGCGTTTTTCCAGTTCCTGGAGGTCCATACAATAATATACCACGAGGTGGCTATAAAACAATTATTTTTTAAATGTATTATAATAAAATATTTTCATGAATTTTTTAACAAAAATTAAAATAAAGTAAATATATTTAGTATTATGTTAGCATTATGCTTATACTTAATTTTAAAAAAAACATGCTTTAAAAGCATATTGCTTTTCTTCTCAAGATTGTATATTCTTACTTTTACTCCAATTGCTTTAAACAAACTTGGATGCCGTAAAGGAAGCTCAACCATTTCTTTTATTTGTGCTAATTGTTTCCGACAACCACCTATATCATCATAACCAACAGCATTTAATGATTCCTCTTCTTCCTACAAATGAAAATAGTTTTCATAATTTGTAGAGAGAAAATTAAGAATTTGAGAACTATTGACTTCAAATTACATTCAATTCAACATACTTATTATTCTGTATTAATGCTAAAAAATATGTAATGTTTCCTAAAACATATCTGAAAGATTTTGTATAATTGCAGAGAATTACTATATGCAATACACAATTCCTTATATAAGAAATTTTCTTATCAAATAATTCATATAAACAGTTTGTCAAGGTGATACTAAATTGAATTAATAAGTAAATTATATTAGGAATAAAAGATTTCTAAATTTTCCCAAACAGCTTTATTAGCTTTTAAAAACAAATCTTTGTTTCACTAACTTATCCACAAATAAAAGGATTTAAAAGTTTGTAAGTATATCATAATAATTCAAAGGTAGTAAGAAACTAACAGATTTGATAAAGTTTTTAGTAGTATTTTTTTTAAACTTATATTCCTAAAAAATTACATAAAATAATAAGTATTTAGTAATTTATTATACCTCTCGTTTGATAGGTTCCCCTTCACAATGAATAACAGTATCAGGAGCAACAATGCAGTAAGGACTAGGATCTGTCTCCACAACTTTAAATTCAACTGCCCGCATTCCACCTCTAACCACAAATAAATCTCCTCTATGAATTGGACGGTAGGCTTCCAAAAAGTATGGTTTCAAAAACACATCAAATAAACTCCTAAAAAAGAATATTAATATAAAATTACTGCTATTTAACTGTGAAAATTTGATAAAATTTTAAATACTTACCCTGTTAAGCCTTCAACAGTATCATCTATAGGAAGCACATGAATTCTTTTTCCATACTTTACATCCGGACATGCATGAATACTAAAAGAAAAACAAATCAATGAGCTAATCATAACTAATCATAAATGAAAATTTAAACATTTTAAAAATTATTAACTAATCATAAATGAAAATTTAAACATTTTAAAAATTATTACTTTGAATAATTTTGTTTTACCTTACAATATCACCTAATCTAACCCTCAAATTATTTCTTATACAACGATTCATGCGTATTTTTTCATTAGGGCACGTCTCATCAGACAACACAATGCATACAGTTTCTCTTCTCTTTTTTCCTTTCAACATTACAGAGTCACCCCGGAAAAGTTGAAGTTCATCCATCTTCATCTGAGTTATTAAAAATAAAATACAAGATTAAATATATAATAATAATAAAAGTTCAAACTTTAAATACACACAACACTTACAATTCAATCATGTCTGAACTTTTTTAAAATTATCAAAGTTTTTTTTTAAATTCTGTAGAATGTGAAATATCTGATATGAAAAATTCATAAAAATATTTTTGAATTCTTGTATTGAGCTATTAGTTGCTGATTCTCTAAAACACGAAAGAAAAAAAAACAAAACACCAATCCACAAGATCTACATTACATTGAGAGTTAAAAGGAGGTATCAATATCAATGTTAAAAATTCACTTTGGTTTTATAATTTTTAAAAATGACTATGTTGTTTAATATATTTTAAAATAAACATTTTACTAATCAATTCATATTTGTGATTTTGCATAACTAGGATAAAGAAACTGCACAAAACCAAAAATTATTTACTACAGATAATGAAAGCTATTCATTCAAAAACTAGCATTCTAATCAGATTAATTTGAAGAATACATTAAGTAAATTTTATATATATATATAATTTGTACATAAATATTTATATTTATATTCTATAGAAATGTCAATATATGCTAAACAATTCTAATATAAATATTAATGAATTAATAAGTAAAATGATTCATTATTATGAAAATATTTTTATTGTCTTCAAAATTTTGATGATAATTGACAAAAATCTTCCCAAAATTTTTTTGTACAAAGCAGACTGAGTAAATTATGTTAGAAGTGCTGTTAAAGAAAAATAACAGCATATAAAGTTGAGACTAATAATATTGAAGGAGTATACAGTAATATAGCTCTGTACATCCTTGCCAGATGTCATTTGCATCCACCATGGAATATACAAAATAATATTGCCCATAGATTCTGAGGCAGTTTGATAATGATTTTTGACACTGAAGGAATTGCACTTACAAGTTAGTGAGATCCATCACAGTATGTATCACAATAAGAATTGTGCATGTTGCTACAAAAAGCTTGAGTTCAAAAGTCTACAGTACTTGACTCATCGTCTGTTTGTTGGCCTTTCTTGAACTTTGAACCCACTTGCAAGCTTTCTGCATAGTATGCACAACTCCGTATAGTGAATACATCCTGCAAGGATCTCACTAGATCTAATGCCTTTGGCTGTCAAAAATCAAATAACAATTTACTGTTTAATTTTGGTGCAGTTTGATATGGGAAATGCCATTTTGTAAACCACACAGGGAATGCAAATGTCATCTAGTAGGGACCACTATTAATGTAGAGTATATTATAATAATAACTCTTTCAAAACTAGAAATTTCCCCATCAAGCATGATTGAATACTTTTTATCAGAAAGTAAAAGATTGAAAAACTGAGAAGAGTGGAGATTTCAAGAAATTCAAGAAGAGTTGCTATTTCTACAAATTAAGTAGTTTATATTCTAGCTTGGCATTGTGATGCTGTTTCTGCAGCCTTTGACAAAGCCATTCTTATTTGATGTTGCTGAAGTCGAACTTCATGGCCTTCAGGGGTCTCAGTTGTTCTTATTCATTTAGATCTAGAATTTACCAGACCAATTTTACTCTTACGCTTTTCCCTAGGCATTTTTTTTTTTGACAAATAGAGTCTTTTTAAATCCACATTGATAAAACAAAGATAAATTGTATGTATGTTAATTAGATGAGCAATAACACTTTCTAAATAATGGGTGTGTTAGATTGTTACTTCCGAACAAATAATAGAATGTCGCATGGTCATTATAAAATATTTTTTAAAAAAATTTGTTATAGAAGTGACACAATGCAGCTATTTTCTTTTAAAGTTTAAATTTATGAAGTAAGTTTAAAATATGCCATTTGCCAAAATATTTAAAAATGCAAATTAAGGGAAATTTCCTCATCAAGCATAAATGTCATGTGGTCACTGACATTACTGCAATGTAAGTGCAATTACCAATCCAAAATCTATAAAACGTTTATTCTATAGTAATACTTCCATAAAGTAAGTAGTCTATATACTTTTCGTCAGAACATAAAATGAATATAACCAAAATTTCATCTGGATTGGACAAAAATTGCAGGAGTTATAGGGAATTCATACATAGACAATAGTTTTTATATTAGTAATTATTAGCCTCAACCTTGTATGCCACATGATTTTTCTTTAATAGCACTACTAATCTTATTTATTGAATCTGCCTTGTATTTATCAAATTCTGAAAATACCAAAAGACTTGTATTTTAACCATTGTTATAACAAATTGTAACAATTCATCTTACCTGTGACAGAGCCACAACTGAATTGTCATCATTTAATGCTTCTTCTACAATTAAACGATTTGGTTTTTCTTTAGTTTTTAAGATTGCAGTAGCCAAATCTTCTGAACTGTAAAAAAAAAACAAAAAAATTATGATTAAAAGATTTTAATAACTATTATGAAAATTTAAATTTTTTATATTAATATATAGACAAATTTGTACAGTCACATAATTTAATCTAAGGAAAAGCTAAATCTAGTTTCCTCAATTAGCATAAAATTAGATGTCAACATAACATTAATTTTATGCTAATTAAGAAAATATTAAATTTTTTCCATAATCAAAGCAAAATTTGATATCAAAATAAAAAATTATAAGTGGATGGGTCTTATTTAGCTTGCTATTTTGAATAACCTAGTTTCTAATTTGCATCTTCAGGAAGGTTTTGAAATATCTCTAATGAATAGTCTGATGATGATAAATAATATCACAAATAATAAATAGACTCACATATAGTCTGACTCAAATTCATCAGAACCTAACTCATAACTACTGTGGCTATAGTCAAACTCAACCATTGAATAATCAATGAAAATTTTGTATTTCTGCCATAAAAATTAATAATCTGTTCACATATTAAAAGCAAAATGTTCAGTCATCACCACACACAAATAACATAAATTTAAAAATTGATTTACAATTGAAAATTTCAAAACAACTTTAAAAAATGTTTTAATTTTCATTTTATTTTATTTTTTATTTTGGTTTTGATGTAAAGGCCTAAATTTTAATTATTATTTTTAGTTTTAATTAATTTTTAGGTTTAATTTATTTAGTATTAACTTAGTTTTTATAATTATTGACAAGACTATGTCTTGTTTATAAAACCATGCTGCTGTCAACGGCTGGACTCCTTAGAGGTATGAAGGAGTACTGTCAAGAGTTGCAATTTGAATAGAGTATTTGGTGCCCAAATCATGTGCACATAAAAAAAAAAAAAAAAAA